CACGCCCCTAGCCTACGCCTTCCCCGCCTATGCAATGGCATTCCCGTAATAATAATCGCCAATTCCCGTGCCCAATTCCCCAACTCGTCAAAACCCCAGACAGATTGACACTAATTACGGAACTACCACGCTCTATAAATACCCAATCCTCATCGTACCATTCTCGTCTCTTCGAGGAGAGAGAGAGAGCGGAGAAGAGGAGAGAGAAGCTAAAACCCTACGGAGCGAGCACGAATCTCAAAGCGACCGGCCGAGCTCGTTAAAGGTAAGAGAGGGCTTATCTCCTGAATCCTCTCTCATTTGTCTCCTCTCGATCTCCTTCGATCAGTTCAAAGTTTCCATTTTGGTGTTTGGTCCGAGCTTTTCCTTGGCTGGAAAAGTCTTCAGCTCGATTCTCGATGCTGTCGAGGGTCTAAGCGACACGAGAGGAGTTTGTTCTCTGATCGAGGATCGCCTTTGCCGAAATTGGAAGACAAGGGGTTAGGTCTCAGATCCGGTGGTTTCAACCGCCTGTTTCTGTGATGAATTTCTCTCTTTTCGCGCGAGAATCGACGAATGCCTTTGTTCCGAACCCTACGTTTGTCGGTCCGTCTGCTTATAAGTTTTGCTTTGCTTGCAGGTTCGAAGCTTGAGAGGGTGGCGATGGAGATGAAGAGCTAGGGCTTGATCCGTACTAGTTAGGGTTTTGGAGGGAGCTAGGGTTTTGGCTGTTTGTGAGCGGGTTTTGGTCTACGATGGTAGCTTTGTCCTCGTTTAGGCTGCAGCTGTTGCTGGTCGCTGCGTCCTTTTCAATCGCGCTCCTCTTCGTTATGGCCTTTTCTTCTTCTTCTTCTTCTGGTAAATCTTTTTTACTTTTTTTGTTTGAGAGCAAAATTGTTTACTTTTTTTTTAATAAAGAAACACCCGGCTTTTTATGTATTCTTGTTTCTCGCTGTGAAAAATGTGGGAGAGAATTTTCCCCTTTTAGTAATTTTTTTTAACTTTTAATAATGACATTTTGGAATCTAATTCCTTCTTCATTTAATTGACGTTTTGTGTTATTTTGTATTTTTGTTGAATCTGTACTTTGAATTTCTCTAGTGTGGCTACATCACCTTTTTTTTTTTTAAATTTTACTCGTGATTTAATTATTTGAAGGTTTTTTTTGAATATCTTATATATTTGAATTGTTTTAGGAATTTCACGGCAACTGTTTGATCGCCCGAGGATGGAAGTCCGTTACAGTTTGAGCCGTAAGCTTCTGTCGCAAGGTAAAAAAATATCCGGATCCAACGGCTGCGATTATAGCTTTAAAGACACGTGGCACGTTTGAGTGAGTTGCAGCGTTGTGGTGCAGATGAGGTCGTAGTTTAGTTTGTTATTGTGTTCCGGTGGTGGGCCCCCCCACAGCGAGAGAAGCTTCTCTCGCTTGGCCCGTTGGGGCCAGTTGAGCATAGGGCGCAGGTTAGCCCTGTGCGGCCCAAACACAGCCCTGCGCCTGCAGAGGCTGCATCCGGGACGATCTCCTGGCAAAAGAGGAATTCCTCTGCCTCTTTTGTTCCCTTGTCGTTTTGTACATCCCGGTTACGGTCACAAGCCGTGGAGATTACCGCCTACGATGTCTCACCCCAAAAATAGGAAGCCTTTGTTAAGTCCAATTTTTATTGCGAAGAAAGCTCTTCACGAAACAGTGTAAAAGACCGTATGCATCACTGTAGACCCCTTAGTCAAAACACTGCTTGGGTTTATTATTGGTAAATTATTAGCTTTTATCGCACAGTAACTTTTGAGAAACTAAAGAGGAAACACCTTGTCTAAAGTCCAGTTACATTGACCCGGTTATAAAACGAAGTAGGACAAATTTTCTAAACCAACCTATTTGGACTTTTATTCCCAAAAAACGACCCCATTCAAAAATAATTGCAAAAACCGACCTGGTTTCAGCCTCAGTGCTGAAACCAGGTCGGTTTTTGAAAAAAACTCTCCGAAACTTCACGGGAGTTGAACTCCCGTGAAGTTTCGTAGTTCAAAAAACTTCACGGGAGTTCAACCCCCGTGAAGTTTCGGAGAGTTTTTTTTTAAAACCGACCTGGTTTCAGCGCTGAGGCTGAAACCAGGTCGGTTTCTCTAAATAAATGTGAAACGGGTCTTTTTTTGGGAATAAAAGTCCAAATAGTTGGTTTTGAAAATTTGTCCAAACGAAGTATGGCAAAACTAGCAACTGCTTAATCTGCTATTAGTCGTGTCGTTATATTAACTGGAAAAAGATACCTTTTTCTTTGCTTTTTTATTTTTTTACCGATTCTTTTTCCCTCCCTTTTAAACAGAAAGCTCTCTGTCCTGCAGTAAGAAGATCAGTAGATTATTGATGTATTTGTTTTGTTGCACAGTAGAAAGAAAAAACTGTAGCCGATTTTGGGCTTGAAATGACTAGAGTTACATCAACCCAACTATTAATAAGCTGTTAATGTGTAGTTGACGTAAAAGCCCCCCGGTTCTTTCTGCAAATTTCTCGCTTGATCAGCTTCTTCTAATTATCAAGCATATTAGCTCAACGAAAGTTTTGACATAAAACCCCCCCGGCCCCGGTTCTTTTTGCAAATTGCAGGCGCAACAGCGAACACGACGACGACTGACGACCCGAACAGGATCGGCGACGGGGTGCTCGTCGAGGGACATAGTCATCTACGCAATCCGCAACAGCCCCGCTCCCCAACGGGATCCCGACCTACACCGTCCAAGCCTCAACGAGTGCATCGCCGGCAGCGGCTGCCGCATCGGCCGCATCCACCTCTCTGCCGCTGGTTCAGCTCCGCCCGCGCCTCGTCAACCCCAGGGTCTTCCCGGCCGCCTCCGCTACGAACGACTGCCTCGTCAACGACGGCCGCCCCATCTCGCCGCCGGGCAAGTCCGTCTCCTTCCCAGTACGCCAACTCCTTCCCTTTTCCCATGTCCGTTTCCTCCGCCGACTGCCTCAGTTGATGAGTTCTGTCTTTTTTTTTATGTTGCCTATTCTGGAAATTGAGGGGGTGTTTTTTTTTTTTTTTTACAAATTTTTGAGAATTGGAAGAGGTCACGTGTGCATAGGTTTGGGGCAGCGGTGGGCCTTCTTAATTTTGGTCAGGTTTAGCGTTGCGGGGGGTCTGTTAATAGGAGGTGTAGCTAGTAGTATATAGGCTAGTTCTCTGATACAATTTGATACAAAAAAAAAAGCTAAGAAGGGTAATGCTTACAAAACGTGAATTTATGAGCATGCTTGCTATTCATTGTATGGTTTTAATTACTCTTTTGGCTCTTTCGACTCCTTTTTATGAGTTCTTTTTCTGAAGTCCATACGCTCACCTGCTTTCTTTTGGGAGCATTTAAATATTTTGAAGTTAAAAAAAAAAAAACTTGTATCTAAATATTTTTAATTATATAAAGTGCAGTTTGGCCTACCAAAAGGTTCTATTTGCACTGGTGGGATTATCTTTTCCAATGCGGCACGTGCTTTGAACTAAATCGTAGTTAATTAGGTGCTAATCCACTTATATTACAAGACCACTGATCAACTTGGCCCCCACGGTTCCTACAGTTTTTTTCCCAATGCAAAAATGACGTAGCCGTCATAGGGAAGCACAAAAGCACAGCAGCTAGCGTAGTAGAAGAGACCCTGGACTTTTTGTACATTTTCCCTGTTATTTTTGATTCGAGCGAATCATCAATCAGAAGCTGCGTAGCTTCAACAGTGCTTTTTTCCAATCCATCGATGCTGCGTTCTCCGGGGTTTCGTTCTTTCCCGGAGCTTCTCTGGGTTCGACGGCCCGGCCCTGTCTGCTGTTCGGACGCGTGGCGGCGTGGTATTGGGTCACCCGGTGGGGTCCCCAGCGGGGAGTGTTTCGGGTGTGATGGGATGCGTACTTTTCACTGTGAAGCGCCACTTGGGGCGGGGAGGGGGTTTCAGTTTACTGTAGATATTCCTTGAGATTGACGTTTGACCGGGATCGATGTTTGTGGGATGTAGAATTTGATAGAGGAGATCCTATCGTACGTGTTGGTGATCTGTTTATTGCCCTGCCTTGATTGATGGTGTGAAAAGATGAAACGGAAAATTTGGAGCAAAACAGGGGGTGTAGTTTTGTTTACCTTTTTCTTTTTTACTATTTTTTATTTTTAATTTTACGACGATCATGTTTGACTGCTCCCTGCTAATCCAGCTTAGTAAAGCTTAACCAGAACGTGCCTAAGGGGTCAAAATTGTTGTTCGGATAAAATTGGCCTAACTATAAAACCTGATTTTTTTTTTTAGTTTGAATTTGAGCATTTATTCATGGTATGATTGATCCGGCCCCCTACCTAGTTTTATGACTAACTTGGTTGAGGTATTGACGTGGTTAAGGGTCGAGCCGCCGAACACACCCTGAGATATGCGTGGCAACCATTCAAAAAGTGGGCCAGGTTCAATCTGGTCCGGTCATACTTTAAATCAATTTAAAGTTGAATCAGGGGCTAATTGTTCCACACTAAATTGATATTACAACATCTTTTATGCCTTGAAAGAACTGAGCCAAAACCAACCCATTTTTTTTGCTAATAAAAAAAACTTAAATCTGCGTCATATTCAATACTAATTTAGTTTTAAGAGCTTACCAAACACATCCTTTATAGTTCACTTCTGATCATTAAATGTGAAGCTATTGCTGAATATGAATGATGTAATATGCCTAACGAGATGAGAATGTATATCTCTTGTTATAGATTGTTTACTAAAACGATATGTCGTCTTATACTCGATTTTTTTTAATAAATTCTAAAACTTTTTAAAGTATGTACGTAGAGCTTTGTGTCTCCAATTTTTTTTAATTTATTTACATCTCAACAATAGGTGTCAGTTTGGCAAACTGAAAAATAAACCAGTTTTGTTCTAAATTAACTTAGTTCAGGGTTAAGGGTGGGCATATTCTAAACTAATTGGACGAACAAAACCAATTTAAGTCCAGCTCCAACTATTTACAAGGCCAGGGCGAGGACTTAAATGATTTACTTTTTTTTTTGGTAGCGTGCGTTTGACATTGTGATGGTAGGATCCCAATATTCCCTCGTGTGCTCACTTGACTTGTCATGGAATCATATACATAAATGCACTTTTTGGGTGGGGGGGGGCTCCTCCGTAGTATCTCTTGAGAACGGATGATGCCACATTAAAGACGGTACCCAATTAATCAACGAGACGGAATATTTCCGATTGTAGGGTGTGAAGGGGACAACTAGTGTAGCTGTGGTCAGGTAAAGACAGTACCAGCTCTGGCCCACTGGGCCTTTCTTTTGATCTGCGGCCCATGGCCCTCGTGTCTCCCTCGGACCTTTTTTCGGTAGCTACGGACGAACGAGCTTACAGCACTTCCTTCTCTTTACGCATATCAGCATTTAATAGGCGTTTGTTTTGCGCGTGAAGATTCTTGAGAGGGTTGTTGAAGTTGCGTACAATGTATATATCGTTTTAGATGTTCATTTCTCCATCAAGAGAAATGGAACCTCCACTTAAAATAAAGTAATTTCTTATAGAGAATAACAAAAATGAGCAATGACTATAGATTTTTATATAAATTACTGTACAAATATCAATATTTGTAAAATTTGATAATTAGTAAAATTAAATCTGGGGTGTAATTTTTTTTTAATGTTGGTTAATTTGAAGATAGTTTTGAAAATGCTGTGATTTACAAAGTTAAAAAATTAGAAGGCAAAAGCCTTTTTGAATTGTTTTATTTCCTTCTCAGATATGCTAGGCTAACATAATTTTTTCTGTCTAGATTTTATGACCTTCTACTTTATTTATTTTATTAATTAAAAAAAATTTTAAAAAAAAATCCACTTCACCAAAAAAGAGATACATTCTCACAAAAAAAAAAAGCAAAAAACAAAGACTTCTAGATAAGCCAATCATTAGTGTTTGTAAACAAATCCAGCCTAATTGGTTCCTACCAAAAAAGACAAGTCCCAATTGTTAGGTCGACGCTTTATTTTACTTAGTTTTATGTTCAATACACCCGACATGGATGCTTAATAAAAGGATTAGTGGATAACTAAAAGTTAAGATGTCTTCTCAAGGGGATTCAGCATCTAACCATACCTTTTGAAAAAAAAAAATATCTAGAAGCAAAGAGTATTGGGTTGGTGATTTGGTAACCGTTGAGTTTTATTGTTGCCAAGTAATTAGCTCATAATTTTGTTCTCATTTTGATTTGATGCATTTGGAAGTTTTTCTTTTCTTTTTTAGGGAAAGGAATATAGTTTGACTTCAGAAAGTTAACACATAGATTGACAATATGAGTTGCTAAAGTGGTCCAATTGGTTTTCTTTTATAGGCTCTAATGCCTATCAAGTTGAAGAGCACTTCCGTTTGGACTGTTTAGTTTTGTCCGGAAAATGATGGGGGCTGTTTGGTTTGATGAAAATGGGGTTACACATGTAAATAATGTAACCGAGTTTACAAACATATTGTTTAATTTATAATTTATAATTAGGAATGGTAAATGATTTTGTATTTTGTAGAAACATTTGTAGCAAATGCTACTGTTAATTTGGTGGGAGGAAAAAATTACAGGCTTTTAAAAAAGAGAATTAAAAAATAAAAATAATTCTACCTCATCAAAAAAATTATTTTAAATCTAAATAGGAAAAACCATCTACACCAATGTTTCTTTATTTGTCAAAATCTTTTAGCGTTCGCCTAATTGCTTCGCAACCAATCGCTAACTTGTATTTAAAAATACATTTCCTATAGTATAATTATAAATAACCAAACATTGAATTTGAATGATTCCCTGCGACAAATATGGCTATATTGGACCAATGCTGAGTTTGAGTTCAAGAAGTAAACACGCATGGGTAGACACTTCAGATGGGCTCAAGCATCAGCATATGGTAGGTTACAGTGAAATTCACTTGGATCACATGCGAACATAATTACATCTAGGCTAAAGAGGATCTGAGTCTGAGTCAATCCTCAAGCCGGATTTTGGGCTGAGTCGAAAGGCGTCCTTAAGTCGGCCGAGTCAATAAACAAGTTCAACTCATATTATGAGTCAATTCTGAACTTATCAGTAAAACTCGCCCAAGCCATAGCGAAGCTCGACCAAGGCATAATGAAGTCCGCTACGAACTTCACCCAAATAGTCCACGTGAGACACATAGCGAAGTTCGCCGAAACCGAAGCCGCAGCGAAGCTCACCAAAGATGTAGCGAAGCTCTCCCAACCAATAGTGAGCTTAACCTCGTAGCCCACTGTAGGCTGTCTAAAAATCACTGCAGATAGCTGATCCCCATCAAACACTGATAATGGAAGTTACAATTTGACGGCTTCCAGAAAGCTATAATTTAAAGACTTTCATGTAGATCGATGAATGTTACAAACTGTTGATCTTCACAATAACTGATAAAAGCTCTAATCAACAACCTTCGTAATCAACAGCGAGAGTTACAACCTGATTACTCTCACATATCAAAGAGCTGAAGCAAAGATTACAAAACGATGATCTTTGCAACACTCTGACAAAAAGAGACTACAAATTAACAACCTCCTCAAACCAAGACGCGTAAGTCCTACCCGTGTTTCAGTATCAAGACGCAGCGTCAATTCAACCACGGA